AGAAGAAGAAGAAGAAGAAGAAGAAGAAGAAGAAGAAGAAGAAGAAGAAGAGGAAGAAGAAACAACCCTGCCCATCCCTGATTTGGATTAATATGGTTGATCCTGGTTAGCATTGCTCTTCAGGCTTTCAGACAACAGTTTTTTACAGCCCTTCTTGAAATCCTTTCTAAATCTGCCAGAACACTTGTGGAGCATTGCCTTTCCCATCTCTGCATAGATTCTGCCATGGTTCCCAAAAGTATTTTCTCGGACTGCTGGATTTCCCACAGACCCTGAAGGATCACTTCTGGGTTTCCATGTCAGCGGACAACAGCTGAATTGTGACTTTTGCCAGTCCCTTGCCCTTTTCGGGAAACAGCGTTCCTTTACAGAGCATCCTCCAACTTGGGGCATTAGGGAAGATTTAAAGATACCCACCTTGTAAGTCACCCTATACATTTCCCACAATTCCCTAAGAGAGCTGTGTCCTTCTGTGCACTGTGGGGGGTTAAGATGGCAGGCTGGAACCAGCCAGCCTGAGATTCTTCCAGCCTGTTCTGTTCTTGAATGTATATTTTCCTGTCACTAGAAAAATAATTGCATAAGTCTTTTCCAATGGACACCCAAACAGCTCTCTTTGACCCACCCTTAGTGTAATTATCTCATGAGAACAAGTCCTTAATTTTATTGACATTCGTCTCCCCCTCCCTTTTTTTGGTTTTGTTAAGTTTCTGAGGAAATAAGCCCCCGGCTATAATTTTAGATCCTGTCGCTCTCTGCCTGCCCTCTGCGTCTGATCTTGCATCCAAAAACATAATTCAAGTCAGAATGGAAAGACGTTCCTCTAGTTTCCTTTCTTGCTGCCGTTGTTGCGATTCATCCCACGTTGCGTTATTTTGTAGTCCTTTCAATTTTAGAAGGCAAGAGGATGACTAATCTGGTTCTGATTCAGAAGCCCTGTTGAGATTTATGAGGGTCTCAAATTTAGCAATTATAATGTTGGGATGGAAAAGGCTCCATGTCAACTTCTGGGGGAAAAAACCCAACCCAAAGTAAAAACAGACTTTTTAGATCAGTCTTCCTCCTGTGACAAAAATGGAACTTGGTTCTCATTTAGCCTGCATCCTATTTCTTGCATGTTTGCACCACGGAGGGGTGTTTGTTCGTCCAGTCCTTTGCAAGTTGTTGTCTGTAAGGAGCCCTTGATTTTTTTTTGGGTGCAATGATTTTAATCCCCCAGATTAATCCCCAGCATATGCGAGAGATTGTGCATCTTTCAACATGGGCTCTTTGCTTACGCACCGTAGGCTCAGCGCAATTAAATCCATGTGCTTGGAAAGTGTCACCCAGTCATTTGCAGGGATCAGGTTCCCTCACTGGAGAGAAAACCTGGGTTGCTCTGCTGGCAGGATAAGAAATCTGTCAAAGTGACAGAAGTCAGACGGGCTGAAGACGCTCATGGAATTCCCCCCCCGGAGAACTTATTTGTGTTACATTGTGCTTTTTGAACCCTTGAGCCGACAGAAGACAGTGTGAAGAAACCATGTGGCATGGCTGCTTTCTGCTAGAAATTATTGTAGTCCACTTCAACGACTAGGCATCCATTTCCTGTTGTGGATTGATTGATTGATTGATTGATTGATTGATCCCTGATTGATCAATCACATGCCATCAACTTAGTGTCACCTCTTAGGGACCACACAGATGGAACTTCTCCAGGAGGATCTGTCCCCAACTTGGCCCTTCCGGTCTTCCAATGGTGCACCCATCGCTGGGGTAATCAAATCCATCCACCTTGCTCCGGGTCATCTCTTCTTCTGTTCCTTCAACCTTCCCAACGTTAAGGGAGTTCTTGCTCTTCATTTATTTATTTATCTGGATGCTGTAGCTGAGTTCTTGGCTCAACTGCCAGGGAATAAATGAATAAATCAAGGAGGAAATCAAGAGGAAAAATGACAGGCAGTAGGGTTCTGTCTGTCAAAATGGAACTGCGAGTCAGGATTTTGCTTGTTTTAGTAAGCTGGTGCTCTTCTCTCATGTCCTGAACCATAACCCTGCTGCTCTGCACTCTTTCTTTCTCTCTCTCTCCCCCACCCTTCAGCAGATTTGGTCAAACACTGATGTTCAGATCTTTTTTTTGGCTCCAAACCTGAACCTTGTCTATGAAACTCGGTTCTGTTTCCTCCTTCCCTCCAGGCCAATGTGTACATTAATAGTTTGCCACTGATTTGCCAGGTTCAAAAAGCTTGCTGAGAAGTCTTCTCCCATGAATGGAACCATCTGGGAAGGAGAACCTGTTGCAGGAACTTTCTGAGGGAGGAGAAGTTCTGCTCTCCAAATGATAAGAACTGATCTCTCCACATTTCCTTTCCTTTGGGTAGCGTTGTGGCTAAACTTTTGGACTTCTGGGGGAATGGGCTCAAAGACCCCCTTGACCAGGATGCTCATGGAGGATTCACCTCACATAGACAAGAGGGAGCTTTCAGCTTTCAAGAGGGAAACACAGGATAGAAGTGGAATATTAAATGAATACACAGAAGGAAAATAAGGGCTGCAGGTGCCTTTGAAATGTGCTCCCCAAATTCAGTGACAGACCGCCAATAAAAGGAGGTTGCCAATATAAAATAGGTGGATTAAGTTTTGGTTGGCTTAATATACCTATAAAATGTTGTAGCATTCTAAACCCACTCAAAAGGGGGGGGGGGGGAGGAAGGGTGAAAATCCCTCTTCTTCTCTTGAGTAATGTTGAAGAGTCATTGCACTGCAGTCAAATGATGATGATGATGGTAGTAGTAGTAGTAATCAGCACCAGCATCTCATAGCCAATTAACAACCTGGATTAGATTTCTAGCAACAGAGAGGTACCTGTTGTTAGACTACCTTGGTTCCTTTTTCTTTCTGGCATGCGAAGGATATGATTATGTTTGTGACGTGGGTGTTTTTTTCACCCCCCCAAGGGCGCTCGAGGTCTTGATGGAACAGTGGGTGAAGCAGGGCCCCAAGGTCCCAAGGTGAGTGCCCCCAAGTCAAAAACCCAACCATTGTGGACAATCATTCTTGGGCACGTGCTGCGGTGGCCCATTGCATTGCCGAAAAGCAGGGACCAGACATTTTCCACGTTTCTGTGCCAAACCACAGGAATCATCCACAGGAAGTGTGAACACCAAGTATCTTTGCTACTCCAGCCATTCCATGGCTGATGATTTGATTCCACTACTAAGTTCTGATGAGGCCTTGATCAGACTTTAGGGGTGGGCAAGGCAGCTCAAATCTGATGCAAGTTTGAATCATCATCAGATCTGAGTCATCGAATCGATTCAGAGGCATCGGATTCAACGGGTCAATCTGAAGTATCAATCAGATTTGGAAAGTTGGTTCAGTTTGGAGATTTGATTGAACTGCCTTCAAGTCGGATCTCTGAATCAATGTGTCACAAAGCCCTATGAGACAGGGATAATGTTTCTGATACTCCTACAGAGCATAGACAGGAAGTCTTTCCTGCTTGCCAATTACAAAGGCTGAAGTTTAGCGTTTCCTTCCACACAGGAAGAGGATTCCAGTGACTAAATACAGACTGGCCCTTATTATTAATATAGTGTCCCATTTCTGTACACGATCCATTAGAGAGAAAGCTGGTCCAGAACCCCATGATGTTCTAGTTTTTTGCATGCAGGGTTTTTAAAATTTTTGCATGAAGGCAAGGCAAGGAAGAGGGTTCTAGATACTAAATCTGTTCTTTAGTCTTTGGTCAACTGGGGGAATTCCACCATGTGTCCCTTTCCCCCATAGCCTTTAACTGTAGAGGGGGTCTTCTCTTCTGCTCTTTGGGAGAAAGAAGCATGTGACTTGTAACTTGTAAATGGCTGAATGGAAACAGGTGAAGAAAGTGAATCTTTCCTGCATTTTTTAAAAGTTTCCCTTTTGTTATAATTTTATTAATAGGGCCTCCCGGGACATCCAGGTAAACCAGGACCGGATGGTCAAGAGGTACGTTCAATACTTTTGGGGGAATCTGAAAGTGTTTGAGATGTTTGAGATATCTTGGCAGGACTCATACTGACCTTCCATCTGAATTCAAGCCTTTGCATTTGTAGGGAAAGATCGGTGAAATCGGAGAGTCTGGTTCTCGTGGCTTCCCTGTAAGTCCATCCTGCATCTTGGAGCATAATAAGAACAGTTAATATTTTGTCAGAGATGACATTGGAGAGAATCCATAGGAGATGATTCCCACCACTTCTGGACTTCCCAATCCAGGCTAGCAAAATTGAAATAGGGTTTCTCCCCCTCCTTTATGATTGCCATTTTTCTGATTTTTTTCTTCTTTTCTTCCCCTGGGTCTTGATGGTAGTCTGTGGGTTTCAGTTTTGCCCCATTTCTGATTTCCACCCTCTTTGAAAAGCTTCTTTCATCCCACTTCCATATTAGTGTGGATTTTTTGTTATTTTTTTAAAAGTTCTCACTACGTTTTGTGGATATTTCTCCTGTCACTCTTGCCTTACATGCAAAGATTTTGAAAGCCAATGTCCCTGATGACATCATTAATTTTTATGCATCGTTTTAATTATAGTGGTGGCTAGCTCTTTGAAAACTCATTCATGTTTTGCCCTCTCTTCTCCTCTCTCACACAATTATTTATTTTTAATTAGTTATTTATTTTTCAAATTTGTCACCGTCCATCTCACTGTGGGGTGACTCTAGGTGGTTCACAGTACAAATAGAATAAATATTGATTAAAATAGATAAATATTAATTAATTAATTAAAATGTGTTAAAAAGACACTTCCTTTATAAGCAATTATAAAGCGAATTACTGAATTTGGAGAAGTGGAAATGTTGAAGGGCAACCAAATTGATGAGAGAGGTTGCACCTGGTTTGGAGTTGGGCTCTTCATTGACTTGTTTAATTGCAGGGCATCCAAGGATCTTCTGGACCACAAGGAGCAAAAGGGCCTCCAGGAGAGTTGGCAAGTACCACAAACAAATCTCTGCCTTTATCTCCGCCCCTACAACCGCTCTCTTGACTCTTCCTATCTGAGCAGCTTGGAGAGAGGCCTTGTGGAGGAACATAAGAAGGCTTCTTCAAATGAGCCACAGCATTGTTACCTCTCTTTCTGCCTTGTCCACTCCCTTAGCTCTTTGGACAAAATGGGGTCTTCCCTGAAGATACCAGGGTTGAACCCGGGACTTGTATTTGGTTTAACTTTCATCAAATGCAATGAATTAAATGCAGATATTATGATAAATGGAAATTGCAATTTGATTAAAACTTTTGGAGGGACAGCCAGAAACGTTTCTGGGTATGTTAAATCTCCAGGCAATTAGTAACTTATGTCAATCACTCAACCAACTCATCAATCATATACATTTAAGGTCCTGGCCTGGTCTAGAAAGATGCTTTGTTTGTTCTTAACTTTGTATGTCTGTTTTTTCAGGGACCTCAAGGCCCACCAGGCCCACCAGGCCTTTTGGGAGAAATTGGACATATGGTAGGATATGCTTCCCCCCCCCCTTTCATTTTTGTGCAATACCATTTGAATTTTCTGGAATCTACCCAGCTTTTGGGAATCTTAAAAAGTCTGAACTGGGGGCTGTACCCTGGATTAGAATGTCAGGGAGGACAGAAGATGGTTGATATCAGGAGAAGGTTTCCAGAGTAGAAAACCATTATAACAAACCTGAAAGTTTTGTTATCCTGGAAATGAAATATTTGCTATTCAGCTCTTTTTATCTTAATTCTGGGTAAAAAGAAGCAATCTCGTTGCTCCTTTCCAGCATGTTCTGGCTTGGATCTTCTTCTCCATTTATTTTCCTTCCATCCTCCTTCAGGGACCACCTGGTGCAACAGGGCTGCGAGGACTTCCAGGGGAACCTGGCATGAAGGTAAGGGAGAGAGAAGATCACCCCTGCTCTTTAGATGACCATGACTTTGTCTCTGCTGTGCCCGCTAATGCTGGCCTTGTTGTTGATGATGACAAATGGCATCACTGTATGAAGGCAGAGGAAGGTGTTTTAAATCTCATTTATGGGCCAAGATCTAATCTGACTTTGATTCATTTTTTAATATAAATCAGGATGGATTGGCTGGAAGGAAGGAAGGAAGGAAGGAAAGGAAGGAAGGAAGAAAGATAGCGATTGCTCTTCTCTCTCTTAAGGGACAAAAGCTTTTATCAAGTGCATCAGCTCAAGGATGGTTAAGAATTTCAAGGCAGACTGATGGATCCTAGGATTGGGATGTAGTGGTTAGAGTCTGGACTAGGACCTGCTAACCTGAACAGCTTTGGGCCTCCCTCCTTTGAACCTTATTTTGCTGTGCATTTCTCCAGCATCTTGTAGTCTCCCTGCTGCTCCTGCTTCCCGATCTGAAGAAGTGTTATGGAAAGCATTCCCACATGATGCCTTATTTTAGAAGTATGGGAAGCCCGGGAGGCTACATGTTGCTGGACAGAGGATTGTACAGTAACAGATAGGATGACACAAACACAGTCACACACCTTAGTCCCCCTTTGTTACGTAAAATGCTGGTGTCCTGCAGCTCAATCATGATATTCCATTCCATTCTTAGGAATTAAAGTTCAGCTTCTTGTGATCTTCTCATCCGTCTGGTCTGTTTGCTTTGGAAAGCCTTCCAAGACATTGCTGGAGCTACTGTGTCTTCAGACCCTCTGAGGGTCTCTCTGTCTTTCTTTTCACCTCTACTGGCCCTGCCTAATGTTTGGCCACCCCCTCCTTCACTGTCTCAGGAATTAAAAAAAAAAAACCTTTATTTGCCTGGTTTTCCAACTTTTCTAAGAGACAGACTCCTGGGGAGTGAACTCACGTTTCAAGCAGGAAGAGGAGCTTGCCTCTGCTGGAGAAGTCTTCAACAATTCTCCTAAAAATGGTTTGCCCAAGGTTAGGGTTAGTTGGACAGCTGCTCCTTCAACGAACTGCATTTTGGAGAGGGGAGAACCTTAATAAAAGAAAGCATTGAAGCAAATAAACCATTTTTACTTCTTCCACGATGTTCACAGCTTCATTCTATGTTGGTCAGATGATTCCTCCCACTTTTCAGCATTGCTGTACGCCCAATCAATTTCCTTTGGATGAGCTTTATTTATTGCTTCATTTAACTAATGACATTCTTCATTCTTCAGTTCTTGCGATACGAAAAGAGGGACCTTTGCTTTTATCACACAAAAATGAGGGATTTAGCTTCTTTCTTAGCATTTCTAGGAGAAGCGAGGAAGTTTCAGAGTGAGGGTCCAGAAGCAAGGATGGTATGGTTTGACTTGGATGTGAGTCCGTTTTTGCTACTTGGCAAATTTTAGTTTGCCCTTCGGACTATCATTTGCACTCCTTATATGATAGGCTGCATCATTATCTTACAGGGTCTAGCCCTTGTATTATAGACCCCACCTCTTATGCCACGAATCTGACATTCTGATGGCCTTGCAGTTGTTCTTCATATAATTTCCTCACTCTTCTGAACGTGTTTCTAAAACTAACTTCAAAAATCTCTTCTCCTTCTTGCTGTTCCCAGGGTGACCTTGGTCCACTTGGGGTTCCTGGAGAGCAAGGACTGACTGGTCAACGGGTAAGTAGAAATCTACCCATGCCCCTCTCTCTGGCTGCATAGGCATATTGACATTTATTGTCCCAATAAGATATATGGATTTTATGACAGTTCTGAAATAAGCTCCCTGCTTCTGCCAAATTTGTTTTCAGCCCTATAAACAGGTCAAGAAATGCTGTTTTTTTGTTTTGACATTGAAGGAAGGTTAATCTTGAGGGCAAGAGGTGTTAAACTGACCTGAACTAGTTACAAGTAGGTTCCAAATGAAACATTGGGGTTTGCTAATGGGGAACCTGTCATGGTGAGAACTTCAAGACTTGAGATCAGGTCTTGCTGTAAGATCACCTTCCAATGATCTTTCTACATTTCTTGTAGGGAGAGCCAGGCCTTGAAGGAGACAATGGCCCAGTAGGGCCAGATGGATTCAAGGTACGTTGCATTTCTTCCATTCTTATTATTGCTTTATAACCGTATCCTGTTTCTCTGACTCTCACTTCCTCAAGATCTTTCTTCTGTAGGATGAATCTGGAAAAATCCTCTTCTTAGAAAGGGTCCCTCCAGAACGCATGTATATCTATTGCTCTGTGTTGTTCCTTCTTCGTTAAACTCCAAGATTAGAGGAACTGAGTAGCTCCATTCCAGGAGAAAAAAAGAGTCAATCTACAATATTCTGCCCAATAAATTAAAAAAGAAAAGAAAAGAAATTCCTTCCGTAGCATGTTATGCTACTCTAGCCAGGTACTGCTGTTTTATTATTCAAGGTTAGGTCAAGAGAATCCCTTTGTAAAAGAATTTTCTATTTTTGCTTTTTTTTCTTCAATTCAGATGGATTTCATCTGCGAATGTCCCTGCAGGTAGAAAAACTGGCATCTCAAGAAGAGTAAAGCCTCTAACTATGTGTACCTTTTTAAAAAAAAAAATTGCAGGGAGTTTTTATATTCCATTATTTTGCTGAGTCTGTAGACCCAGCGGCCAAATCTTCTTTGCTGTCATATAGATTTTGGGGTAGAGATGCAGGACTTCCCCCTCTTTGCCCTTGAATCTTTCTCATCTCTCTACGCATGTGTAAAGGAGAAAGTGGTTAATTCAGAGGGACTGAAAAGCTTTCCCATTTCCTTTTCTGTTTCCCCCTCCGCCCTGCTCCTCTTGCAGCTCTGTTGCTTTCTAGCTCAACTGTGAGATTGTGCAGCGGCTCTCGTCCTCTTTCCTGAGCAAACAGGAAAGCGTGTTACCCATTTGTCTCTTTCAGGGAGACAAAGGACAAGCAGGCCTGGAAGGAGAGCATGGGGACAAGGGGCAGGGAGGGGTCCAAGGAAAAGAAGGACCCCCTGGCGATCCTGGAACCACAGGCGTCCGAGTGAGTTTGAAAAGTTGATTGATGTTTCTGCTGCTTTGTTGGACTCAGGTTGACCCTTGGGGAGAACGCCACACTGCTGTTTGCGACTTTGGGGATCTTGAGAGCTTTGCAAAGGGAGATGATGTGAGAGGGGCTTGCTTTGCATGCCCAGGGCCAGGTTGCATGAGATTTGATGCCATCTTTGCCTCTAAGATGGAGGTTGCATGAAAGGGTATATGCGGGGGGTATACGGTCATTCATAGACTCAGCATAAGTGGTGGAAGATAGATTCTTATTTATTTATTTATTTATTTATTTATTTGTCTATATATATATATATAAAATTTGTCACCGCCCATCTCACTGCAGATTCATTCTCCCCCCACCCCCAGCTGACTGGAGGAAAATCCTTTCTTATTAAACTGATCTCTGCTGGAGTTGGGGGAATCTCCCATTGCTTCCTTGGACATTTAATATTTGTGGTTTGATCTACTGATCTCAATCAGGGTTCCCCAAAGTGGTCAATATCGACCTCTAAGGGTTGAAGGGACTATCCGAGGGGTCGATAAATGCCTGGGGGTCCAAAGGGGCTCAGTAAATGTCTGGGGGGTCAATAGGTGGTTGATAAATGATGGAAGGTCGATTGGAGTCAATTAATCTTTGGCATCTCTGTAGAACTTCACATCGCTCCTTAGTCCTGAAAGCTAGTGGCGAGACAGTGTCACCCAGGGTTATATGGTCAGCCACCAGTGAAAGTGGCCTTGAGTTGTCATTATTAGTAGTAGTAGTAGTACTATTTGTTAAAGTAGTATTTATTAAATTATTTTCATGTAATAAATGTTTGGGGGTCGATAAACAATCTGAGACTTCATGAAGAGGTTGATGAGCTGAAGAGTTTGGGGACCTCTGATCTAAACTGTAAGTTTAGACTAAATCTTCCCAATGTCTCCAGGTTGCAAAACTTGAGCTTTTGCAAGAGATAGATTTGTGTCTTTGGCCCACGACTACCTTTTTTGCCTTTTTATCCAAGAATCATGAAGTTACAGTATGCGTTTCATCAGATCGGATGCAGCTTTTTAGACTTCTAATCTGGACTGCGGAAAGTGCCATGAGCGTGAACAGCAACTCCCTGGGTGGATTTGGTGCTAAGAAAAAACAAAGTCACAGACCCACAGGTTCCCTCCACCTTTTTCCAAGAACCAAGACAAGGAATGCTTCAAAACATACATGCATGCAATTTTAAATAAGACCGAGTTATACAGCCTTATATTCAGGAGGTTTGAATGGATGCTGTGTCCTCTCTGCCAAACTGCGCACTGCCGTGGCGTGCATCTAATTTTATTTTTAAATGCAAAAAGGAGCCAATATAATTTTGCTGGCTCGTCATCGCTTTCCTTTGTTATTATTTTTGGTGGGGTTACAGTGCTGTCTCCAATTTTAGTATAAACTCTTGAAAAAGAAAAGCACGCAGAACAGCATGCAAGCCTGCTAAACAGTAAGGTTCCCCTGGAGCTGAGCAGGATTCCTGGTGATTTCATGGAAATGTCTATGCTGTTTTTTAAGCAATAACATGGAAACACCTTGCTGTTGTTTGAAACTTCTTGATGGTCTCCCATCAGAGATGAAGCCTTCTGTCCCTCAAACTTGGCTCCTGGTGACTTCATGGGCCCATGCGTGTAGCTTTCTTGGCAGTAAAGCTGGTCTGCCATGATCTTTTTCCAGAATATTTTTCAACTTCTCAGTCTACCTTCAATGTTGGGATATCTTGATGGACACACGGATACTGATTATACACTGATCCAGGCTGGATCTGTAGTAACTGGCACAGGTTGCTTTCTGCATTACAACACATGCTTGCAAACATGCCTGCTGGTTTCAGGATCATGTCCTTTGCAGCCTCCTCTCATCCATGCCTTACTTTTCCCATGTTGACCTCCTCCCTTTCCACTCCCATTTCCCAATTCTGTCCTTGCTTTGCAGGAGTTGGTCATTTGGCCACAGATTCCACCTTCAATCCATCCCTCCTTCTATGCTGTTCCCTTCTTTCTGGATTCCCATGGAGAGTCTGAAGCCAGAAATGGGCTATTCCTTTTGATCCAAACCTTGGAGAGAGATTTGATCAGCAAAACTGGTTAGAGGGGGAAGGAGAAAAAAGAGGGAAGAAGGAAAAAACAGGGTGGAGGAGGACGACTGGGAAGAATTAAGGAGGTGAGAAGTAGAAGAGGAGGAGAAAGAGGAAAGAAAGTAACGGTGGAATGGAATAATAGAGGAGGAGGAAGAAGGTACAAGCAGAGGAAGAATTAGTAGAGGAGGAGAACAAAGGAAGGATTTTGAAGAGAAGGAAGGGGAAGAGGAAAGATGGACAGCTCAGCTGAAAGTCTGGATGCCACGCAGAAGTTATGATGGGCCTTTACAGGACGAAATACAGAGAGACGATTGAACTCAGCTGGATGGCCACCTTGACAACGAGCATACCTGTCTTCGTTTGGTTCCATCCTCTGCAGAGTCCTCAGCAGCCATTCATTCATGTTCCCCTGGTCAGGATCAACCAAAGGGTCCATTCTACACCCATCAGTGCCTTGCCAGCTGCCGGATGCAGCCCCCCAGGAGCCACGCTGAAGCAATTCCTTGCAATAGACGTTTCTCTATAAATCTTGCTGCAAGGGAGCAAGGCTTTCACTTTACTCCCTCTGTAGTAGATTCAGTGAGCCAGGAGTTGTACACTGAGGAGTGCCAACTGGCAAACCCAGGCTGAAGGTTTTTCAATTGCTCTCTGTTGCTGAGCGCTGTGGTTTTTTTTTCATAATATGCTGCCTTTCGTACACCATGAGTATGAACTAATCTGATTTTTGCAGTTCCAAGAAAGTAATTGCGGAGTCCTGCAGTAATGAAACACATCATGCCGGGGAAAATCACAGTTCCTTGACTTTGTAACAAGGAAGGGAGCTCAGTTCTTCTTTTCAAGTCATGTCTCTCATCTTCATCGGTGTGTATTTCAGGAACGTTTCATAATTGACCATACCATCATCTGGAGCTCCTTGGTATCAGAGGAGCTGCAATGTGATCTGGGCATCTTCAGCCGTGGAGATCTGCGTGTTTCTGATTTTCTCTACCCTTCTTCTCAAGGCACAGAGGCTCCTTGTGACAGAAAACATTGCCATGGCTTGGCATGGCGTGTTGGCAGCAAGAGCTATGGTTTACAAAACATAATTTCTGTTTTGCTCTTTGTGGTTTGGGGTGATGAATGGACAAGCAGAGCTCCGTCTTTGCTGGCCTCCAAAATATCGCGCGGTGGAGACAGGAATCAAATTATGCAGCTGAGGGTGAGGGGAGAAATCAACTTCCCTGTTTCCCAAGTTTCCCTGTTTCTAGCCTAGAGTAGTCTCATTTGTATTTTAAATTTATTTTCTCTCTTTTCTTCCTTTTCTTTCCTTTTTTACAATGCACATTTTGGACCACATTTTAGGCTAGCCTACGTATCTTCGTATGCATTTTATCTTTCAAACCTGCTCATTGACTAGAAATCTGCATTTTTATATTATCTGTGGATTATTATTTTTTTAGTCAAGTGCTCTTAGCAGAAAAGTTGGATAAATGCACAAGCCAATGATAATGGTGATCCTATCTGCATATTACTTGTGGAAGTGTACTTTGGGTTGGTTCCCGTAAAAATGGGGAAGAAATTAAATCTTTTGGGCAACCCTCGCCAGGATGGATGTAATATGATGTTGAACTTGGTTTCTTGACAATCTCATGGTTGTGGAAGAATAGGAGCCAAATAATAGTTAAGTCTGAGACACGAGTAAGCCAAATTTCTCTTTTTTTACCATTTCTATGTGAAGTATGTGTAGAGGGTCTAGAGAAGAACTAAAGCCATCAAGAAAACAGTCATTTTTCCTGTCTTCAGTAGGTGGTAAAAATCTTGGTGAAGGTATCCAACGTGATTTTCACTTCTGTTTCAGGTGACCTTCTCCAACCTGAAACATCCTTCAGATGTGTTAAATAACAACGATGAGATTCTGGAAACCATTGTACAGCACATCTTGAAGGTCACAGATTGTGGGAGATAGCTCTATCTTCTGCACATCCATGAAATGTAAACTTTGGAGACTTGTGGAAGGTTTTCTAGGTGACAAATCTATGTGAATATGAGAAAGAAAACTGTATTATTAATGGAACTGAACTCCATTGACTCTAGCAACTCTATTTTTTAAAGAAATTCCTAAATGTTTGGCTTTGGTCCCTGACCAAAAGATGATCCATCTTTTTGACAGTGTTGATTTTTTGATTTGATCAGCTGTTTCCATCAGTTCATTTTGATCTACTGAATAGAAATTAGTCCCCCCCCCCAAAAAAATCTGGGGCCCACCTTGTGGCAGGCATCCTGTAGGAATTCATGAGAATTCTCTAATGGGAACTTCCAAGAAATTGTTGAACAAATTAAAAACTGTACCTAATAAGTAAATAAATCATCCTTCCATGAATCAGGGCTGGGAAATCTCTCTCTTCTTTAGCCATGCAGAGAAGGTGAAAACGGCCATAGCTCTTCTTCCTTCAGTGTAAATTGGCAAGAGTTTTTGCTTGTTTGAGATTTGGTATGGGGGAGCTTTATCCAGCTGGCATTTGTTTTTGAGTTAATACGAGTTGGAAGGAGAACAGATCTGAAATGAATATGTAAGATTTAGCACGTTCTCTCCATGGATTCCAGTATAAGGGTTCTTCTCTTTTTCTCCCTATCCCCAAATTCCTGAATGGAGACAATGATCTTGAATTAGTATTAGAAAGGTGGTAAATGATTGACCTTGAACAGAACCGTGTGTGCCTTTTCTCAGGACAGTGACTTTATCTCTGTTAAATCAGTTTTCCATCTCGCTGAAATCCTAAGGAAAGATTATAGTTCTGTGTAACAATTCTTTTGGAGAGCTGCGGCCAAAGTAGGCAATATCACTTTGGAGGAGCAAATGGTCTGATCTGCTCTGGCACCTTTCAGTCTTCTTAGTATCTTCCAGGCATTAGAACCTTGGTTTTCTGCCAAATTAGATCAAGGTGTGATTGAAGAACCAATTCTAGATTTTCCCCCCTTCTTGTTTTGGATAACCCTCCTTTCTATGACTCTTTCGGTCCGGATTCTCATGAATCTTAGATGGCTTTGATTATTAGAAGGACCATCATCTTCTAGAGACAGAGAGGATCTTCTCTGTTGTCTCTTATTGATTACACTGGAGATGGCTTCTCCTTTGAGAAGCACATACAGTCACCTCTTGTTCTCCTGGGAAGTTTCCCATCTGCTTCTTGTGCGCTCAGAAGATGCCCACCTGTGCTTCTCCTAGATGCGCCCATTCTCTTTTTAGAAATGTTGTTGAGAACTTATCGCTGAGTGCCTTATCATCTAGGGATTAAATGGTCAATAGCAAGGACTGGAGCTGGCTGTGATTTTGTAGGAAAACCACGTAGCAGTTTCCTTGGTGTATTTTCCTCCATGCAACAATCGTTTCTGATGTCCTTTCCTTCCAATTTCCTTAGATTGCATATGCAAACACTGGAAATTAATTGAGAATTGGACACAGGAAACTATTGCAAATGCTGGAGCCAAGGGCCTTGTTGTTGAAGGGGGAAGAGGCTCCTCTACTGAATAAGCTGGCTGGGAATTTTGGGAGTTGGAGTCCAAACATCTGGAGGGTGTCCCATTGGGGAAGACTGTTCAGTGTCTTGAGGATTCACATGGCCAAAGTGGAATAAGTTCTTCCCACATTCAGCAATTGCATTTTTTTCCCCTTTCCCAACTGAAGTTATGAATCCTTAATTCGTCAACGAGGGGTTAGTCAGAGTGAGTGAGAGAACACAGACGAAATGTGTTTCTGATAAATCTGAAAGTACTTACATCATTGGGGGCTAGCTCTCTAATTCTGTTAATTTCCTGGAGACACTTTGGCCGTTGTCTGTGTGGACGAGGGTTTCTCTTGGACAATCTTTGATTAAGGGGATGTTCTTGTAGGACCAGCTGGAATGTAATAGAAAATGACAGGGAATCTGGAGGGTGTCTCCTTGCATCTGCATTTATGTTCATTGACTACATGGATGCTTTATATGAGTCCCTTTCTTTGTTTAGGTGTCAGTAGTATTTGTTACATCCAAATCTTATGTTTGTAATTGCAACATGTCCTTGTATCTTGGGTCCTTCTAAACTTTCTCTCTTGACTTGCTTCCTCCCGTTATCCCATATCTTACCCATATCTAATTTAGAATTGCAGAAGGTTCTCCCATCCAGACAGATGTATCTGGAGATAAATCAAGCATGAATTTCTTCAGCATCCATTTTTCTGCAGTCTAAAATCAAGAGATCTGAAGAAGAGCAAGATTTTGCCCAACGGGATAACGTAAAAGCCCTCTTGAAAGATCCAGCCCCTCATCTGCAAAAACATTGTATAAATTCATTATTTCGTCTACTCTTCAGCAGCTGTTGTGTTCTGTCCCACCAATTCCTTGGCCCAATGCCTGAGGACTGCAGGACTCATCATGAAACAGAGGCCCTTGGCTTCCCTATTCAAAGTGATGAAATGGAGATGAGTCATTTCACATCCCTGGGAAAATACCTAGCAGCTTTCCCTCTCTTCCTCCCTCCCCCCATTTTTTTTTTTTTTTTTGCTTCATTTCATTTGTACCCACGTCTGCTGGGGGAAATTGGGCATTATCTAGACCTATTCTCTCACTTCCCAGATCATGGAGGAACCTTTGTAATCTTGTTTCTCTTTTGCTTTATTTGTAAATGGATTTGTTGTATCCCTTACTTAAATCCTAAATAATATAACTCTAAATAACACTCATGAAAATAATAAATAAGGGGGATTTCTCACTAATCCCCAGATGTCCTGAACAGGAATAAATAATGAGGTGGAAGGAAACTTTTAGTTAAAGGCACAGTAGCTCCGGAAAGTTTCAATCATGCTTCATCTGGCCACGTCAGATAAACTGGTTCGGTAACTGCTTTCTGCTGAGCAGGGAAAAAGGTATTGCAACATTTGGGCGGCGTAGAACTGGAAAGATACTTGTGTTCCAACTCTCAAATTAACCACGGAAATATATATCAAATTATTTTGCTTTAAAATGTGAGTCAAGGTAGGAAGGTTGTAATTCAGTGGGACTGCAGTTAGTAATCCGAGTGATAAAAACACAGGTTGGTGTGAAATGGGTTCTAGTGCAAAAAAGCCTGTCTAATAAAACTCTGACTTTGGGAGGTCTTGAACCTTGATGTCCCTCTTCCTCTCAGGGCCCAGAAGGAAAACCAGGGCAACAAGGAGAAAGGGGCAAAACTGGATTTAAGGTATGGATGACTCCATGTTTTTCATTCCTTGGATAATCCCCTGTGCTTTCTTTTGGGCCTTTTCTCATTGAGTTGATAGCCTGGGAGCATTCAGATGATAGGGGTGGACTTAACTGGATTGTTTCGTGTGGAAGCATCTTCACAATACAGAGAACTAGCCTATCAAGGAGAGTTCTAAGCTAGCTTCTTCCTTGACATGCTAAATACTTTTTTTTTTTAAAGAATTAATTTGTGTTGCTTTGTTGGGAGAAGCTTTCTGACCTGTGCTCTCCTCCCCTTTCAGTTTAATGGTATAGCTGTGGCCTAGACAAAAGTTCAACCATGGGGACTAGCATGGTTTCAATTGCTGATGTGTCTACTCTTCTTTAGGGCAGCAAAGGCCATGAGGGACAACTTGGAGAGACTGGCCCACCAGGACCGATGGGCTCAAAGGGGACTCAAGGCCCCAAAGGATCGAGAGGTACTCTTGGACCAACGGTGAGAATTAGCTCTTTAATTAACATAACTTAATTAACTTAACCCTTGAGGCATAATCCATCAAAACTGTTCTTTTCCTAGTTACCTGTGATCTACCCAGTCATGTTTTTGCCTTGGGGATCTCTCACCTGTTTGGGTCTCTTCCCATCTAGTCACCCAAATGGGATCTTTTGTAAGCCTCAGGGCTGGGCTGTACCATATGACTCAATCAGTCAGGTGCTGATTGTTCAGAGGCAAGGTTTTATTGATATATTCTAATAAAATACAATAAAATGCATTGCTTTCCCCTCTCTACCTATCTGAGCACTGAACTAATATTACTTTGACTCATGAATCTCACGGTACCCATGTAAATTTGGTTCCCTTCTTAAGGGTCAAAGATGACTATATATTTTGTCTAGGAGTAGAAACATCTTGAGGATCACTGCCAGTTGGTAGTGAAGCTGAATGAGACAAGGGTTTTGTTTCCATTATTGGGACCTCTGTGAGAATGAGATGCTGGTCTAGAAAAGCCCAAGGTCCTCTTGTGATTCATCCCTCTTATTGTGACATTATTCCCAGACTAACCTCCTCTTCTTCTATTTTAATAACAACTAGAGGAAAGCAGTGAAGCACTCACAGGTTTTGGGGAGAACAGGTGGGTCTATTCAGTTTAGAGGAGATTCTGAAATCCAGGTTCCCCAGAGGAAAGCCTTGAGAACATGAACACTTAGAGGCTAAAAACAGAGAGAGGATGGAGAAGAAAGAGAGAGAGAACATTTTCCCTAGTAGAAATACTGGACCAGTGCTAGGAAGAGCAAGGATGGAGCTATCCCTCTGTTGTCTTTGCAGGGAGTTCCTGGCCAAATGGGTGTCCAAGGAGAGATGGGATTAAAAGGCTATCAGGTAACCATTGTTTGGGTCTATCTTGGCTACGCTAGACTGCCTATCAACAGCCATACAGTGGTCTGTGTGGCATTTATCTTGCTGCTGTTTTGTAATCGGGAGCTGTTTTTTGCTTGGGACATCCTGCCTTTTTGTCAAATGTGCCCCCTTTCTCTACCACTGGAGCTTCAAGACCCATAGGATGAGGAGTGGGATGGAGTATTGGAAAGAGATAGGTGGGAGTCCTGGAGTCCCGGAACAGATAACCAGATCAGGCCATTGGTCCATGTTGCTGAAGGCCGTTTGCTAAGGTCCACGTGCCAGAGTGCTTCCACGAAGGGTGGAATTTCATTGCCATTCCCTTTCTTCTCTTCTGCAGGGACACACAGGATCACCAGGCCCCATCGGTCTCCCTGGGGCTAAGGGGGAAAAGGTAAATGGGCAGAACGGATGCTGCGTAGGAGAGTTCAAAATAAGGGAAGGGAATGGATATGGTCAGTCTTGGAAACCCTCCCTTCTTTCCAAGGAGCTTTCAATAGAGCTTTTTTTCGCTCCACCTTTTAAGCCTGGAAACTTCTACACTGGCATCAACCAACCATTGCTGTGGTAAGATACCAGGAACGAAGGAGGTAGGCAGGCATTACAGCAACAGTGGCGGGGTGATTCCTTGATCACTAGTGAGGAAATAATTAGGGTCTTAGGCAGGGCCCCTTTTTCTCAGCTGGGAAGCTAAGCAGGGTCAGACCTGGTCATCCTTGGATGAGAGAGCTGTCAGCTAGATGGTGAAGTGGACAAACTTCCCGGAAGAAAATGGCTGGCAAGCTACTTCCATACTTTTGCCGGGAAAACAGCAATGAGGTGTCCACAGTGTTGCCAGAAGTCAAACTTGACTTAAGGGCATCTTCACCTTCTTTGAACAGACTACTGTTTAAGTGGGAGACAGGGACACTTTCTGTGCCTCAGAAAGTCTTCTCCGTTGCCAGCCATCTGGCGCTCCGCAGATTTTGTTTGCAGCAGAATGCATCCTTCCTCTGCTAATCAACTCCTCAAAAGCTCCCGCTCCACACCTGCTTCTGTTGTGAATCCATGCCACTTGGGTGTTCCCTTCTCCTCCTTCCCCCACACTCCAGCCCCAGACTTTTGCTTCATCAGCTGAACAAGAACCAGACTCACTCATGAGATGAATGACTCATATTTTTCCCTCCTGCGTTTCAGTGGCATCTTGTCCAGAGCTGGGGGACAATTCTCAGCAACTTTGGGGTTTCTGCTCGTGCTTTTGAGGGAATTGTTGGTTTTTGTTGCTCCTGCCTGCCCAAGGAAGAACTAGATGAAATCTCCAAGTTCTTTTCTTGACTTTCTCAGTGTGGGAGGAAAGAACAAAGGAGACACACAGACGTTCAGGGCAGTACCCACAACTATGCATCTGCTCGCTGCATGGAATGGCTTCCTGCACAATCAGGAGTCCCAGACAGTCCCAGAAAGGGTGCACAGACATCAAGGGTGAAGCATCACCCATGCCTTTGAGATAGGGCCCAGTTGGACATGCCATTTCTTCCTTCCCCATGCATTTGGAGAAAGTTTGAGGAAAGGCCAAATTGTTGTTTTCCTGATTGTTTTCATCACTTTTATTACACATCCCTCTATCCTTCCTCCTGAGGGCTCCATGCCCACAGTTACCCTCCTGAGAGGCCCATGCCCACAGTTACCCTCCCAACCGTCCAATGATAGTTAAGCTGTGAAAGTATCATAAGAGCATATATTAGATTTATAATATGGGGGTGGGGGGAGTTTGAACCCAACTCTTTCCCAGCTATTTTCTTTGGTACACTGTCCTGGCTTTCTAAGAATATACATCAGACTTCCCCATGCTGATTGGGAATTATGGTAGTTGTAGTACCAGCCATTCTGGAGGGTCCCTAGGAGGAGGATGTTCAACAGACCCTTTTGGAAAAGAATCAAAGAAAGCGTCTTCATGAAGACATGAATAAGGAGACTGATGAGTTAAAATGTCAAGGGATTAGAAACTTTAGTGTCCTTGGCCAGCTGATCTCCCAACGTTGGGACGTTACAGCGCCATGGTATATCCTACTCAACGATTCTTCTTGGATTTGCAGCTCTTTAAATAGTCCTCGCCAAGCAAAGGGATGTCCAGCTGGAAAACCACATATTTTCTCTTTTCCAAACTACGATGTGATGCTTCCCACCCCAAAACAGCAGACATTAGAAAGGGATCTGACCTCGTCCTATCCTTTTTCATTTATAGTTGCTGTGGGTTCCTGATCTGGAGTTGTTTTTCATTAACTTTTCAAAACATTTAACTAATTCTTTAGGCCAGCGGAGAGCTGATACAGAGACGTGGAGGTGGGGTCTGAGATAAAATAGTGAAATCCATCTCTCCACACACGTCTTCTTCAGACGTACACCTTCGATTTCATCCCCTGTTTACATATTTGCATGGCCCAGTCTGGGACGTTCTGCAGTTGTAACTCAAAACAGGAGCAAAAGCATTTTCTTTTCCGTAGGGTGACAGAATCTCACCATTTCCCCAAATATGCATCACAGCTCCTTTTGTGCTGGGCTTGCTTTCCTTTTTAATGCTGATTGGATACCAAATTTTCAATTTTTGCCCTGCCCTATTCTGAATCAAATGGCTTTTCTGCTTTCTGTTATTCCTGGAGGCTTCATGTGTACACTTAAGCCGTCATAAATTCATCGGAAGCCTTATTTTGCAAAGAAGATAATGTACGGAAAAGACCACAAGAAGAAGAATGGGAATGGCATAGGTGTGAAAAACTGAGCAAGGAATAGGATAACATTTCTTAACAATTGTGTGGTGGGATTTTAGAGGCTCTGCCTGCAACTCCATTGTGATCTTAATCGTTTTCAGGACTGGCTTGTCTTAGTAGAATTTCCTTCCACAGGAAGTGTGCGTGATTCGAACTTTATTAGTTTTTCTAAAAGCACCTTCAGCACATTTTTCCCCCTGCCAACCTGTATTTTTTGAGCAGTGAAGTCAGCTGGACTTAGGATCTTGCAAACAGCTGCTCCATCTAGTTTTGCAGTTGGATTCTTTCTTTTTTTCTATATATTTTGGAGCATTGTTTTATGCTTTAAATTCTTTTTGGACGCAGCCCAAAGGTGTCCTTTTACTCCAGCTGGTGTTGGGTATTGAGTTGTACGAGTGACAACAACGTTTTTGTTTGCTGCTTTTAATGGTCGCCATTGTTTGCAAGATTTTTTCTTCAACTGCATTTTATTTTGTAAACCTGCCTCTTCCAATCAATCCTACTCCCATTCTGAATAGAGCATTGTGCAATTATTGGTGGTGGTGGTGGGGGGAAGTATTTACAATAATAAGATAACCACTGTTGTCATTGTATTGAGAATGCAATGACCTTAGAAAGATCACCATGTCCCCTTCTGTTTTCTGCACTTTAAGAAGTATTCAGAGTTGAGGAAGAAAGAGCAGTCAGGAAGATCAGGGAATTAGAAATGAAGTCCTAGGAGGAGAGATTGAAGCAAAGGAGGGTGTCTAACTTGGGGAACTGAGGACAGAGTAGCACTCTTCAAATATGAGAATGGATGTCTTACAGAAAATCAATTCTCCATCGTTCTTGAATGCAAGTCAAGGAAGAGTGGATGTATGTTACAAGAAGCGGGTGGGATGCTAGGAAAAAATTCAAGTGTTCCACCTCCCTAGAGGGGCTGGGCTCCTCCTTCCTGGATGGGTTCAAGGAAAAGTTAGTTGGCCACTGGTTGGCGATGCATGGATTTGGATTCCAGTTATATGCTTCTTTACATCCATGCTGCTCTCACAATCTTTGGCAGGTGACCTGCCTTGTAAACCAAGAGTTTTATGTTTGCAGGGAGAACAAGGCGATGATGGGAAGATGGAAGGACGCCCTGGACCCCCTGGAGAGAGAGTAAGCTATCTGTTCTGCCCAGGGCTATTTATAAATCAGAGGTCTTCCCAAGGCAAACCAAAGTCTTGTGGCCATTGGTGGGCCTGTACAGGCAGCTGACTGAAGGCCTAGCAGGTGGTGGGAGGAAGAGAAGGGACGGAGCCAGCTGGACCTCTCTTGAGAGATGCTTCACTAACTGGAGGCCATCAACCCAAGCCCTGCTTCTGTTGACGGTTATATCCTCACCGTGCATTAAAGCAGGTGAATTTGGAATTTGGAACACAAGGGTGTCTCTCATGTTGTTTTTGCATTTTTCTCACACTCTTTTTTTAGGGTCCCATTGGCAACCAGGGAGATCGTGGGGAGTCTGGAGACCCTGGTTATCCTGTGAGTCCTTCTCCAAATACCTGGTTAGGAAATTAACCATCTTGGGAATAGTACTTTCTTCTCTCTGCAACCTTCTCTAGTAGCCTTTCTGTCCTTCAAGTCATAAGCAGTCTCTACTTGTTCCAACAAGATGCCAGTCCATCGCGGTCTACAATTCCCATGGTCTCCATTGGCCATGATGGCTGGGGATGATGGGAATTCTAATCCAACACATCTGGAGAGGGCCTGTTTGGGGGAAGGATAATTTTGATGTAACTCAGCAGCAGAAGCTTTCATGGAGTTAGATGATGCAGCATTCCACTCTTCTTAGTCTTGTATTTTTGTCTATGATGGCTTTTTTATAGGACATCTGGTAATCTTTGGAGGTTTTCTCTTCTCCTTCCAATCTTTCACATAGATGCTAATATAAATTGCCCAAGGAACTTTTTTTAAAAAGGCAAGTCATCCTGCTTTGGTTCTTGACACATTTTCCCCAGGGTAGACTTGTAAAATGCAAATTCACCGATGTAATTTCTTTTTAAAATGTTTGCATGCGATCTTCTGAGTATTCCTCAGAGGCTTCTTTGATCGGGGCACAAGGATTTTGTTTTACGCTAACACCCCCCTGCCCCGCTGCAACATCAGGGGGGATCCGAATGCCCAAATTTACCCCCAGCAGATTTCATGGGGTGGGGTGGGAAGAAGATCCTTTACTCTTCTAGCAAGGGCAGAAAATAAGAGGGCAGGGGGAGCTTTTGCCTCTGGATCAAAGATTGTTGAATGAATAATTCACTTGGATTCTCTATCTGGTTTTCCTTTAGGGCCAGGAAGGACTGGATGGAGAACGAGGAAAACCTGGGCAGCAAGGTTTGCCTGTAAGAAAGTCACTGTTGTTGCATTTGCTCCTCCCTTCTTTTCAAGTGTCTCCTCTGTTGGAGTCCCAATGGCGTCCAAGGAGAGACTCCAGAATCCAAATCCCTTCTCACACTGTGCTGATGCTCTCTTTTCCTTCCTGGGGATGAGAGATGTAAAAGTTGAGTTGGAATTCCGATGTGTTAGGGGTGCCCTTCTGAGATCCAGCAGGAGTTAGGGACTCTCCCATCTCCAGCCGAGTGGAGAAAGCAAAGACCGTTCTTCCTCTAAGTGATTCCCCCTGATCAGCTCAGTCTCGGTGCTCTAGGAAAGATATATGCCAGAGGGGTATTTTCAAGGATATAGTTTTTGTTCTTTTCTTTTCTCAGGGACACCCAGGACCCCCAGGACCCCCAGGACCGAAAGGATCCAAAGGCAGTCTGGTATGTTTGGAAAATAGACATGGCTGGTGGCTTTCTTGTAGCAGATCTGGTTTAGTTGGAGCAATAGTTATCTTGAACTTCTGTTGCATCGCTTGGCTGAAGGCTACTTAACAACTGTAAAAGAAAATAGCAGTCTCTGCATGCAGAATGTTAGCAGACCTAGTTCCCCTCTGACTTGCTACATGTCTATGTCAGGAGATTTTTATTACTTATTTGTTTATAGTATGGAGGCACATTCAATCTTGTAGGCGTAGAGTGGGTGAGTTCAAAGGCAAGCTGTGTTTTCACCTTGGTCATGAAAGATCTGAAATCTGAGACAAAGAATGGCACTAACTGGTTCTGGGCAAGTGCATACTGAAGAACTTCGATAGCTGAGGGACTATCTGGTGGATGAGGGGACTGGGGGATTCCAAGGAAGGGTTGGGCAGAAGGATAATCAGGGATGAATGGGAATTCCATTTTAGTAAGATCTTTCCCAGTTTGCCTGCTCTAAATGTCTGTCCAAAGCAAGATCCACTGAGACACTGGAATCTGCCCTTTTTCAATATTTCTGCAATAGTTTGCAATTCATTAAAGACAAGAGGGGCCCAGAACACACCACAAACACATGTGGAGATGGGGCAGATCAAATTTAACACTGGAAAAGATGAGGATCTGAGATCAGCTCTGCCCGATGAGGAGGTCCTGCATGTTGAAATGATCTTTGTGTCTTTCCTTCTTTTCTTTTTCCCTTCTAAGGGCCAAAAAGGAAAACAGGGGCTGCAGGGTGCCAGAGGGAGCCGAGGGTCACCGGTAGGTGATCAATGCTTTGCTTGTATTCATAGCAGGCAGCCACGATATACCCACCATCTGCTGTGCATTTGCTGTACCTGATTACATCTCCCCAGAGGTCCAAGATCTTCCATCATACAGAATCCCAGAGCTGGAAGGGACCATGGTGTCTGTAAAGTCCAACCTTCTGTTCAGTGCAAGAATCCAAATTAAGCTGTCTCAGACAGAAGGCTCTCCAACCTCTGCTTGAATGTATATAGCAAAAAGGAGTCCACCACTTCTCTAGATGACTAATACTGTGGACTTGTACTTACTGGGAGCCGGTGTTCCCTAAGAGGTCTTGTTCCTCTTGTAGACAACATCCTTTCAAGTACTTGAAGATGCTATCATGTTTAACCTCAGCCTTCTCTTCCTGAGGCTCCAGATCCATCACTCTCTCATCATTAGACTTAATTTAAAACTCCCCAATCACCTTCGTTGCCCTTCTCTACACCTGTCCCAGTTTGTCTAGAATTCTTCTGAAAATTGGGCACCTAGAATTAGACACAGTTCTTGTGTAGGCCCCAACCAGTGCAGGATAAAGTGGAACAACTGCTTCCCATGGTTCAGAAGCTACATGGGTGATGCAGCCTAAAATTGCATTGGCCTTGTTTGGCAGTCACATTACATGGCTGACCCGTGTCCCGTTTGTAACCAAGCACTGTTCTTGTAGGGTTCACTTGGCCTGCCAGGTCCCCGAGGAGTCATTGGGCGAGAGGGACAAGAGGGCGCTCCTGGAATTGATGGGATTCCTGGGAATGACGGCCGCAGTGGGCAAAAAGTAAGTGCAAGATTTTGGAGTGCAGCTGGCAGAAATATGGCTGTAGTCTCTTGGCACTGGTAGAACGATCTTCCTAACGATTTACCACTATAACGACTCATTGATAGGAATCGGACTCCTGCTATGATGAATATAGTGTTCGTAATAAGAGCATATATGTATCTACACTGATGTTCTTTCTCCCCTCCTCCCCCAAATTAGGGTGAACAAGGTGAGGACGGGGAAGAAGGGACCCCAGGAATGCTAGGGAAAAGAGGGAACTTTGGAGTCCCTGGGTTACCTGGAGCACAAGGCCCCACAGGATTTAAGGTTGGTCCCCCTACTCTTTGTCAATTTACAGCCTGGAGTTTGTCAACCATTCCTTTCTTGGAATGTTCATTAACATATTTTATGTTTCACAAAGTACCCATTTTTCTGCCTTATATTCTGTCCTGAAGTGAGTGCCTTGGCATGTATCCTTATCATCAAACACCTCCTTCTGCATTCATGTTAAGCTAACGTAAATATCTTTCTGGATGGGTGTGGAGGTGTTCCTGGAGCCAAGAAACACATCACAAGTGGAGATGGGTCCAATGCTCATGTCAGAAGCCCTGTGTTAGCCCAAGAACTGCAAAATAGGAGTATAGATAGATCCTAATGTTGGGCCTTGAGAATGCTGGGACCAACATCTTACTCAGCATAGTACCTCAGATTAAAGCACCTCTGACAGGCGGTTATCCAGCTTCTTCTCGCGTGCATATCTTGGAGGAAAGTCCACCACATCTCCTGACATGAGGTTCCATTGTTGAACTCCTCTTCCTATTAGGAAGTTCTTCCTAACATTCATGGATGCGACATCCATGGAGAGGGATGTGTTCCTTCTTGCCAAAGAGGTGTGCAGAAAAACGAGGTCTTTTCAGCAGTGGGCCCCATCTCTGAAGAGTTTCATTCCATGGGACTTAGGTTTGGTGCCCTCTCCAATTGTTTTTTAAACCTGCCTTAAAGGTCTAGTTGTTTCAAGTTCAACTGCTGGTGGTGGTTAGAAGTTGAAAAATAGTGGTGGTGGTGATGGTGATAATGATGATGGTGATTTCCCCCCCTCTGCTAGTGTAGATTAAGGGCATTTTGATGCTCCTGTCTTGTATTCAGATTTCAAATTCTTTTGATGATGGTTTGAAAATGTATTTTATGTTTGAGTTACTGCCACGAGCCATTTAGTGAAGGCAGTGTGCCTTAAGTCAATCAATATTTTTGGCTGGCAACATCCCATCACTGCAAGCCTTAAAAGCATGCAGAATCCCCCCCCCCCAAAACATATCGATTGGGAAGCAAAATCCAACATTGGGAAAGACTTTCAACACGGATGACCCTCCTGAGTTTCAGAGCAGGGTTTGGTCTTTTTGGAAATGCTGAAGACTGAATGTCCTCAGAACTGGTGGTTTAGAGGTTCATGGTTTGCAGGCAGACCTTGTCATGTCTGTTTTTCTTTGGTTCTTCTCTGGCTTGCATTTTGTAAAAAAAAAAAAAAAACTTGCTAAAAAGAGAGATGCCAAGTAGGTTGTAGAACAGTTGGGGGCTGGGTGAATGCAGATCTAATTATCCCTCACTTAACGAAGATTTCAATTGACCATCACTGCCCCCTAATGGCCAGAGTTGAGAATGACAGACTGGTCTAGGATGATGCAAATCTTGCCAGATTTACCAGGGAAAATGCCCTTTTCCAGGTTAAGTTTAGAATCAATCCTACTCCGGACAGGCAGGTTGAAAATGTGGCATTTTTGAAGCTTCTGCCCCTTTCTTAGCACATCGGTCTCAAATTAAGCAAGTAGCCTGGAGTGGCAAGGTTTTCACAGGGGGGAGACAGCATGCCCTCTTTTTTTTAAATGGCACCAAATGTTGGCGATGTAGCGAAATCTTTGTCCTTTTCTCAGATTTTTGGAGATTTGGGTTAAAAAGAAGAGTGGCGAAAAACTTCAGTCTGGGTGGTTGGAGGACGTCTGGAATCTGTATGTTGATGGAATATTTTGGTGGCTTTTTAGGGAGAAAGAGGTTTGCTTGGACAGGCTGGTCCATTGGGGAAAAGAGGCCCTCAAGGTGGAATGGGACTCCCTGGAAGCTCCGGTGATCCAGGGCCCAAAGGGCAGCCGGTGAGTAAATGCTTGAGATAGCTGCTGAAGTTAGTTGGTTGAGATATCTCTGAGGCCAAGAAAAGAGAATCCATTGAGAGTCCTCGGCAGCGTAACTGATGCAGCAAGTAGGGGGATGAGCTCTACCAAACGTCTGAGTTTCTGCTTTCAATTTCCTGAAGTAACTTGGGCTGGCCACCCCAGGTTCCTTCTTCAGCTCCTCTCTATTCCTGGGGACCAGCCTCTGCCAAATACGCTCCGATGAAGACATCAAGTGCAGCAAAACTTGTCACATTTCAGGAGCTGGAAGGGAAGAGCGAACATATTTACAAGCCAAGCTATGAGAGGAAGAGATGATGGTTTTGTTCTGAGAGCTAAAATCCATCTGGGTTTTTCTGGCCCCTCTTTTCTTTGCAAAGGGGAGGGAAGTTCATGCTGTTCTTTCTTTCTTTTTTCATCTCTGTGTTGTTGTTTCTCCTCCTCCTCCTCTTTAAAAAAACTTTCTAGGGAGACTTTGGTGAACCAGGATTTCCAGGGATTGCTGGACTGTTTGGCCCAAAGGTGAGATTGTGACATCCCTGTCATGCAAGGTTTTTTAAATCAGAGTCAGGCCATATGTTGGTGGCAGGGGGGTACATGGGAATGTTGAACGTGACCGGTGGGCCCTCTCACAAAATGGCAGCTGCAGATGGCTGGTCTGTGCACAGGTTGGGTGGGACCAGTCATGAGCTACCTCCTGTCATCTAGCAATGGGCTCAGTTTGCTCCCTGCCACCTGCTTCTGGCCCAGCTTTAATTTACCATGTTCTTTTGGGGGCAGGGCAAAATTCAGAAGGAACCTTTTTTTAGTTTTGAGCTGTGTCCCTTGGGCCAACAAAGGGGAAATAGAAGAAGGTAACAGCAGAGACTGCTACAACCTGAGTGTAGGGTTTCATCCTGCTCCTGGATCTTTTTTAATAGCATGGGATTTGTTTTACTTTTTTAAAATAACAATGTTAGGACAGAAGGAAATGAAGCCTGATGGGTGGATGGCGATCTTACCTGGTATGTTCACCCAATATTTTTTTTCTCTCAATAGGGACCACCTGGAGATCTTGGCTTCAAAGGCATCCAGGGCCCGAAAGGGCCCCCAGGACAGTGGGTGAGTGTAAGGATCTTGACTTCACCATCCTTGCCTTGACCTTCAGCTCTCTGAAGCTGGATTCTTCTAAGCTAGAAGTTGGTGAGCTGCCTTTAGCCCCGCATCTGGGTCTTCTACACATCCCAGGATTGAGCTGCTGAAACTGGGCAGCAAAAGGACCAGAATTTGGCCTGTTTGGTGGTAATGACGATGAAGACAGCTTTCCCCTTGGAGGCCAAAACTTTTAGCTGCATCCTACCAGGTTGTCACCACCTCACCAAATTCCTCCGTTCTGTTCCGTCCAGCCCTTCAGCGTTGCTTGCTTTGTGCTAAACTCGCATACTGGAATCAGTCTAAAGAATCACCATAAGTGTTCTGCTGAGGACCTTAGTAGGAGGTGGGTGGCCTTCTTGTCCTCCACCTGCCTTCTCTGAAAATATTTCCTCTACTCAGAAAAGGGGAAATGCTTCGAATGACAAGCAACTCCTATTCTGGGTCTGGTAACCCTTGGAAGGCCAGCTGAGATTAAAGTCTGAATGCCTTAGATTGCTCCCACTGTGAGCTCTGGATACGATGAAGCTCTTTGACGCTCATCTGGTGCTGTTGGTTAAAAGGCAAGGGGACATTGTTTCAGCCTCATCTGGACTCAAAAGCTAAGGAGGATTGGAGCTGGCTAGTAACTAGATGGACATCACCAGGAAAATTCAGGGCTGGAGACCACACTGGGAAAGGGAAGTAGAAGTTCTTGGTGGTGGTATATATATCCTTTGAATAAATGTGCAGCCCTGATTTTGTTTGTTTTGTAGGGCAAAGAAGGTGTTATTGGCCCACTTGGGATTCTAGGTCCACCAGGAAACTCTGTAAGTGTCTCTCCTGCTCCTTCGCTCCTCTTCTTAAGATTAGCAGCTTTCACCCAAGGCCTCATGGAATTTCCTAAGGCCACCATTACTGACATGTTCTCATCACTCGGCCATCCCTGATGTGGACATGCCCCTTTTTGAAAAGAAACGAAACTCAAAATCCACGTGATTCCTCCACTAAGCATGAGACTGTGACTGCTCTGTCACTTTTCTAATGAAGTGGACTCTCTTCAAAAGATGGTACAGGAGGAAAGACTTAAGTCCCCTCTCTGGCATTAAAGCTGCAGCATGATCCAGAAGACCCACCACCGTGGCTCTTATTTATTGATTTCTTTAATTATTGCAACTGCAGGTGTCAGTGACTCCTCTGTTGTGGTGCCCTGATATGGCTTCACAACCTGAGAAAGGCGTTCCCAGGAAAATCTTGATTGTACACAACTTAGGGTCCTTACATTCCAGAACTAAGGTTTGAATGTTGATCCATTTGGACACTGAAACTAAGGCCAAGTTTTTCTCTCTGGGCTTAATTGCCTGCACATCGAAAAGAAATATTTAAGGTAGGGACGGGCACCTTGATGCATACAGATGTTTTGGACAACAGTCTCTTGACATTGGGCCAAGCTGTTGGAGATGATATGAGCTGAAGCCCAAACATCTGGAAAGCACCATTTTCCCTGCTTCTCAGTCAGCAAAGTTGGCCAACTTGACTTTCTTCCCATAGTCCTCTTTTTCACACATCATGTTTTCTAGACAAATTTTAACCCTTCCGTCCAGCAACTTACTGCCTGCATCTCCCAGAAGCATAATTCTCTCTCACACACACTCTCAGGGCTGATTCACACATGCTTCAGTGACTTTTGAGTTTTTCATTGCATTGGAATGTGCAGATGTCATGCACCGTGTAATAGGTGTGCATCTTCCCTCCTCCTTTTCAGGGCCCTAAAGGAGAAAAAGGCAGCCGAGGTGAAACGGTGAGTGTTGTGCATCCTGTGCAATGGGTGTGAAAATCATTCCAGATCCACACACTTAAGTCTCAACTCTTGGCAACCCCTTTGGTGAAGGATCCATTTTCATCTCCTTTTTCTTTTAATATTCCAGGGTCTCCAAGGTCCAAGGGTAAGTATGTCCACGTTCCCTTCAAGATTGCTCCTTCCACCCCATGAGCTGAAAACTGCTGTGCCATTCTTGAATGTATGGGGGGGGGGAAAAAAGTTTTAAGTCACAGTCCAAATGTTGAGGCTAAAACCAGACATGCATAAAGTCGCTCGGATTAAATGGTGGAAATCAAACCATTCTGATTTTGCCTTATGGGTAGTGCAAACTGGGAACGAACATGTCCGTGTAAAAATGCGGAGCGTGTTTTAAGAGAATAAAATGGAACATTTTACCCCTCCTCCAAGGGCTTTTGCTGACTGCCAAGGAAGAGAACAACAGGTGCAGTGCAGAGATGAAAGGGCCTTGGAAACTTAGTGAAAAAAGTTTGTGTGTGTGTGTGTGTG